CGTGGCAGCTTCGGGGTCACGGGGACACGGTGCCCGGTGCCACGGAAACTTTGGGGACACGGGGACACGGCGGCCTCGGGGACACGATGTCACCGCGGCTTTGGGGACACGGAGCCATGGTGGTTTTGGGGACACGGTGCCGCGGCGGCCTTGGGGACACGGGGACACGGTCGCTTTGGGGACACGGTTCCCGGTGCCACCGGGCCTTCGGGGACACAGTGCCACAGTGGCTTTGGGGACACTGTGCCCGGTGCCACAGAAACTTTGGGGACACGGGGACATGGCGGCCTTGAGGACAGGGTGCCGCGGGGTCTTTGGGGACACAGTGCCATGGTGGCTTCGGGGACACGGTTCCCGGTGCCACGGCGGCTTCAAGGACACGAGGACATGGCAGCTTTGGGGACACGGTGCCATGATGGCTTTGGGGACACGGGGACACGGTGTCCAGTGCCACAGCAGCTTTGGGGACACGGGGACATGGCGGCCTTGGGGACACCGGGACCTGGTGCCGCGGTGGCTTTGGGGACACGGTGCCATGATGGCTTTGGGGACACGGGGACACGGTGCCATGGCATTTTAGGGACACGGGGACACGGTTCCCGGTGCCACAGCAGCTTTGGGGACACGGGGACATGGCGGCTTTGGGGACATGGTGCCCGGTGCCACAGCAGCTTTGGGGACAAGGGGACATGGCGGCCTTGGGGACACCGGGACCCGGTGCCACACCAGGTTTGGGGACACGGTGCCCAGTGCCACCGCCAGGCCGGGTGACAGTCCCAAGGCCACTCCGGTGGAGCCGCCGAGCACCGGGACCGGGGTCAGCCCGGATTTTGTCGCGCACCGGGGACAAAGCGGGCGGGACAGACAGACCCTACAGAAAACCGGGAAAAAGGGACAAACAGGGACACCTGCCCGCACCCCTCCCTTCCCAAATCCTTGAGACCCCAAAATCCTCTTTGGGAACCCTAAAACCTTCCCTGGAGACCCCAAATCCCCGTGGGAACACCAAACTCTCTTTGGGAACCCAAAAACCTTCCCTGGGGACCCCAAACCCTCATTGGGGACCGCAAATCCTCTCTGGGAGCCCCAAACCCTCCTTGGGGATCCCAAACTCTCTTTGGGGACCCCAAACACCTCAACCTCTCCCTCCTTGGGGATCCCAAACCCTCCTTGGGAACCCCAAATCCTCCCTGGGGACCCCAAAATCCTCCTTGAAGACCCCAAACTCTCTTTGGGGACCTCAAATCCTCCTTGGAGACCCCAAAACCTTTCCTGGGGACATCAAACCTTCCTTGAAGACCCCAAATCCTCCTTGGGGACCTCAAATCCTCCTTGGGGACCTCAAAACCTTTCCTGGGGACCCAAAATCCTCCATGAAAACCCCAAACTCTCTTTGGGAACCCCAAAATCCTCCTTGGAGACCCCAAAACCTTTCCTGGGGACCCCAAACCCCCGCGCACAAAGAAATTCGGTTGCACAAAGACGCAACCACCAAAAAA